CACCCGACGCCACGTGGTACCCACAGACTCCAGCATGCAGGGGGCGGTGCTATAAACCTCCCAGGTGCAATGCATCCTGGGAAAACTTGCTTTGTATTGCGGCAAAAAATTGTAAAGATAGGCATTATTTTCAATGGATTTTCATTTGTAAACCGAAAATTATGTTAACTGAGGCATTTGGAAACCGACGTACCACTGTATTAGCCTGTTGACTGTTACCACTGCCAGCGAGAAAACAGTTCGGCTTTTTTAAATCCAGGATCGGAGTCAGATTCTCTGAGGCTGGATTTGCCACATTTGTCCTGAATTTCAGCCATCCGACGAGACCCGCCCAACTTAAATCTGGACCAAATCCTGTCCCGTTCGGACCTGATTTACCAAATCTAGACATTGATAAATTCCATCAATTGTGTAAGGATTTTGCAGTCCGAATGGCCCCATGTACAACCTGATGCCCCATTTGGTCTTTGGTGAATAACCCTTCTACTCTTGGATTAGGAATGTAGCAAAATATGTAATTTAGCAACACAGGAATTTCGTAACAATAGATGTATCTTTGTTTTACCAGTTACCTTAGAAAATAACAGAATTCTGTTAAATTCTGTTTTAGGTAAACTAGAAAAATGGTCAGAATTGTGGCAACTGACATTTAATGTGGATAAGTGCAAGATAATGCATCTTGGACGTAAAAACCCAAGGGCAGAGTACAGAATATTTGATAGAGTTCTAACCTCAACATCTGAGGAGAGGGATTTAGGGGTGATTATTTCTGATGTCTTAAAGGTAGGCAGACAATGTAATAGAGCAGCAGGAAATGCTAGCAGAATGCTTGGTTGTATAGGGAGAGGCATTAGCAGTAGAAAGAGGGAAGTGCTCATGCCATTGTACAGAACACTGGTGAGACCTCACTTGGAGTATTGTACAGTACTGGAGACCGTATCTTCAGAAGGATATTGATACCTTGGACAGAAATTCGAAGAGAAGGGCTACTAAACTGGTTTCATGGACGCGGGATAAAAACACCAGAAAGGGAAGGTTAAGGATCTTAACATGTAAGCTTGGAGAGGAAAGAGCGAGACAGAGAGATGTGATAGAAACATTTAAATATATAAAGGGAATCAACACAGTAAGGAGAGACTATGTTAAAAGAAAACTGCTACAACAAAGAGGACATAGTCTTAAATTAGAGGGACAAAAGGTTTAAAAATAATATCAGGTATTACTTTACTGAGAGGTGAGTGGATGCATGGAATAGCCTTCCAGCTGAAGTGGTAGAGGTTAAGACAGTAAAGGAGTTTAAGCATGCGTCGGATAGGCATAAGGCTATCCTAACTATAAGATAAGGCCAGGGACTAATGAAAGTATTTAGAAAATTGGGCAGACTAGATGGGCTGAATGGTTCTTATCTGCCGTCACATTCTATGTTTCTATGTAAATAAACAATGTTATGCTGATTAATGTTACATTGTTTCAGGTGACAGGTCCCATGTAATGTGATAGAATTACACATACATTCCATGAATTACCTGCTGCTTTGGTTCCCTCTCCAATGAGACAATGTCAGTAAGAAAGGGCATCGCACACAGTTAATGTTTGAAACATTTGCTGCTTTATTTAAACCCAGTGAGTCCTAATTCTATTTTACGTGCCGCTGCCTGGCTTGCAGCTTATAATGTGCCTTATTGTTGCATAATTAGAGCAGACTTGGTAGCTTCTGGTCGATAACACTCCTCAGAACGAGTCTGTCTATTACATGAATGGAGACTCTTCCCTAGAGTGAAGCAGGGTTTCTGAGCAGTTTGGCAGCGCCCGACCCAATTAAACCACAGGACATTGTGTCTATAGCCCAAACTACGTATATGAGAATATGCCGATTCTCAATCTCTCCACCCCACCAGTGAGCTTTGTTTATCTTACCATCTCCAATTCTACTTGGAGGTCGTATCCAGGGCAGTTTGATCTTTAGTCCAAGAAAACTCTAGGAGAGCTTATCATTTGCCTGGTAATACCCCGTCCATCACAGTCTGCCTATCCTTTTTACTTTCTAGACACCTTGGTCGTTTCAGCATGTCCGTCCCTTCTTCACACCTTATCTTTCTATTTACCTAAGCTAACAGACATTTCTTTTCTGTTTTCTTTTTTTTAGTATTATTTTTTTTTTTGGCGGGGGGTCGGGGGGATTGTTTTTTAGATTCCAGTTACAGCCCTCTAGAATATACGTATACTTCCCAAGTGCCCCTATTTAGGAGGCACAGTCTTTATCGTGGACCCAAATCCCTCTGTAACTCTTTTCAGTATGTGCAGTAGGTATGCAGTGTGTGTTAGGGTGAGACCGTGAGGGAGGTACAGTAAGTAATTTATATGGCACAGGTCAGGTAAAGCAGCAGGGGTAGTATATTAAATGCAATACTTATACAGACATTGTAACAAGGGATACAGTAAAAGTGTTAACCTCAGAATGTAAAGTCTGTTCCATAGAACGTATAGTCTGTGCCCATAGAACTTACAGTCTGTTTCATAGAGCTTACAGTCTGTTCCATAGAGCTTAGGGTTTTTTCCATAGAGCTCAGGGTTTGTTCCATAGAGCTTACAGTCTGTTCCGTAGAACTTATAGTCCAAGTGATGTTCATAGCTCTTTCCTGACAGTTAATAACATGTTTCTAAAATACACGATACAGTTGATTTCTGCATCAATCTATGAGTTTGAAGTTTCTTGATACAGTATATTCTCTGCCTGCCCCTTCTGTGGATTTTGGGGGCAGGTTAATTAATGCTCTGTCGTCTGCCAGTCCATATCATGGAGCAGTATATCTACTCTCCCGGAGACGGATTGTACTGCAATTTTGTATTGTATAAATAAATTATAATGAAACTCAGTTTTCCATCTCCATAAACAAGCTGAAAATGAAAGATGTAATAATTCAGTAATTTATTGCTGACAGGAGGACAGAGTGAAATGCTGACAGTATATATGCACACGGTGCTCTGAGCCAATCCGTAACCCATCATGGGCCTGGCTCGGTTTCCTTCTTTTCGGGCACTTCTCCTGATCTCTGTCTGATATTTTCTTTTCAGATGCACTGCAGCCCACTGAACGATGCTGACGAGCAAAACCTCCGCACCTTGGAGAAACATGTGAGTCTTCGTAACGCATCAACATGGGGTACATGGTTTGGTAATTAAAATTACTATTAAAAGTACTAAAACAACTGTCATCAAATTTTCACTTCACATCATGTTTTAAAAGTTTATTACATTTAATTAAACTTGTATGTTCAATAGGTTTTCTTTGGTGATAAAAATGATAAACCCTTGGTTAAGATGCGTATTAAATTCATGCTTTTCTTTGTTGGCATTAAATCATGATGGGACAGAATTGACAGTGAGCAGGATAGGGATAGACACTCCATCAAGGGCAGTGATGGAATGTCTGAAAAACCGTTACAATTACCTGACCTGTAACTCCTTAGGAGGAACAAGCGGATGGCATGACTCCTCGTGTAATGAATGATGAGTATAAAGCAGCAAATACTATTGAAGACAACTAGTCCATTGGTGTAAGGCAAGGGTGCCCGAAAGGTTGATCCCCAGATATAATTAACATTAAATTAATGAATAGCCACTAGCATAGTGCATTTATTTTGGAGAATGTTATAGAGCCTCGAACATACTGTATTGGGGTTGAGAAGTACTGCGTATATAGTGGATGAGAACTGCTGAGAATGTCATGGTGCATTGGAACGAGAATTGCCGAGTGGGCTATGGGTGTACTGGAATGAGAATTGCTATGAGTATGATGGGTGTACTGGGGTAAGATGTAATGGGAGTATGATGGGTGTACCGGGGTGAGATGTATTGTGAGTATGATGGGTGTACTGGAGTAAGATGTAATGTGAGTTGTAGCGGATGGCACCAGGCGACCCTACAAAAATACTGTATAAAGCTGCATCCGTGTATCTGCTGTATTTTCTGTGTATTAAAAAGAATTGTATTCCTCTGATTGTTCGGTAGTTTCATTCCCTTAGTTTATTCGAATGAAACTACCGAACAACCAGACCTCCCCTGTGTGAAGTGTGTTCTTAATTACCCGTTGCAACATTGTTGCGAACGGGTAATTGAACAGTAAGTAGCCGTCCTTTGTTCTCGGGGGTGGCCGCCATTCGACAGACGAACACGTGGCGGCATTTTAAAACTCCCGAACAGCGGTGTTTTGCCGTCGAGTGTCTGGAACTAAAATCGGACACTCGAGTAGGCGAACACCGCTGAGACCTCCACAGCCCTGGTCCGTTCAGTTCCAAACTACCGAACGGCCCCTCGTTCGGTAGATAGGGAATACCGAACGAGGGGATTCAGGCGAACCCTCCCTAGCCTTCGTGTATTTTATTCCCTTATGCCAGGACCGACCGCAAGGCCCATTCACATGGAACCGAATTCAGCTATCTCAGTTCGTGCGG